CGACATCTTTATTGATATTGTGGATGTCTAAAAACAAAAAAAGACCAGAACCTAAACATTTTGTGTGCAGAGTCAACGCAAAATGAGGATAATCTGAAATTTTAAATTTGGATTCATTGTTTCTATCAGAAACCCGTGATTTGATGCATATTACATTGCTGAGCAGAACTGGATTTTAACAGCCCCAAACCAATTAAATTCTGTAGCAGTTTTAGACTACTCCATCAGATAGGTTTTAAATTAATAAAAGAAAAGGTAATGTAATACTTTTAATAAGATTTAAGAATAGGTTAGCAATGCATTTGCTTTTCTTAAGAAGAAAAAAGGTTATAAATTGGATACAACTTAAATTTAGATTTCCCCAACAAAGCGTCTATATAGAATAGTGGAATCTAATTTGGAAATGCAGAAGGAGTTCTTCGGAACTCGAGACAAGCTGCATTTCATGAATTCTGATAACACTAGAATGTAGTCATCTTGGCAGTCCTGTAATGTCAGTTTGCATAAGTAAACCCACTGAGGCTTGCTTATTTTGGTACATGCTGCTCTTGGCACTTACAATTATTTGGACAGAGAGAAAGCACATGCATCTTCCGTGATATTTATGCGAATTTAATTTTATGATAGGTATCAATTTAACTGTGTGGAGATTTATCTTTTTCAAATAAAAGAAAAATCTGATTTTGGAACCTTTCACTTAAATCCATTATTTTAGCACCCCTTCCCTAGGCAGATACATTCAGGCATGGGTTGCGTGCCAATCTTGTTTTTATCTGTGTCTCTTCTCTAGATTTTGGTCTTTGCAATCTCAGATACTGTTTTTTGTTAGTGCACCTGTATAGCTCTATTTACTATAATTTCTATTAATTGTTAGAATTAGTCTGATTTTAAGTATTATATCAATGTATATAAAACATCATACTAATAAACAATAGTGTTTTACAAACATAATATATAATATATATGACACAAAACAAGAACTATTATTCTAATCATTATATGTAATAAATGCATATCGTGTATGTATATACATATAAATTATATTGTATTATATGATGTTAATTTATATTATATTACATTATATTATATATCAGTGCCAATCAAAGCACAGTGACATTATTATGAAAACTACTACCATGATTTGAAGTTAATTTGTCCCAGTTGCTTTAAGGAATGCTGCTACCTTGCAGGAAATGTCAGAATTAAAGACAAGTTTACAGGATGGAAATATATTTTGCAAAGAACTTAAAATAGGTATTTATTTATTCTCACAATTCTTAGCCTCAAGGAAAACTATCCAAAGGGCTACTTTGAATATTATTTACTGGGATGTAGGACAACATGCTGAGAAGCACTGGGATGGTTTAGATTATCAGCAATATCAAAATGGACCTATCTTTTTTCTCTGATGGAGTTTAAAAGCCATTATTGGTGTCCCATTCCATATTAGTGGGCTCTAATATAAATATAAAGAAGCATATGGTTAATTATACAAAGACGCTTGTTGCTATATGGTGCTGTTACCTGGATCAAAGCTTTGGAACCCACTTTTATATAAAGATTTCAGTGAAGTTAGAGGACAACAAATCATATATAAGGAGTGTGGCTTTGAGGGAAAAGTATATCTGGCTTCCAGTGCAGGCTCTGTATTTGACTAGCTCTTGACCTTATGAAATTTACTTCAGCTCTTCGGCCGCAATTTCCTGAGTGTTAAGAACAGGAATAGTTACGACACACCTTTCTGAGGAAGTTTCCACTTCTGCCGTAGAGCCTTCATACGCTCTCCAACGAGAGAAACAGCGTATTCACGTGAGTCCTCCTTTATCCACTAATCACCATAAACTCGCTGCTTTCTGTCCTGTTTTAATTTCGTGTCCCTCCCCCTGAAATTTTATTTTTTCTCGTCTTTCTTAGCCACTAATTCCTAATCATTAGGCTTTGTAATCAGATCTTGAATTGGTCTCCTGGAGACAGGATGAGTTCCCCAGGAAAACCTGATTGCTTCCAGAAACCTCCAGACCAGAGATGAAATTGCAGCCTCTGCTGGAACAGAGCCACACCCTGTAGGTGACGTCTGCCTTGTTTCTGGTTGCCCTCACTACAAAGACAGAAAGTTGTGACAGAATTGGTGACCCTCAAAGCCTAAAATGGTTGCTATCTGACTGTCTACAGAAAAAGTTTGTGGACCTCTGGTCTAGACAATGGAGTGACAGTCTGGTTTTATGGTGAGTTGTTTCAAGTGGAGCCCGTCTTTATGGTAGAAGGAAGGAGTGCAAAACTAAACACCGGGTGCATCCGGCAACTACAGTGCCGCTGCTTTCATCACAGTCATTAAAAACCATTAGACAGACACAGGTCAAAGGACTAGATTAAAAAAATAAATAAAAGCTTTCAGTTGATCAAGTTAGGCACCAAACTCATGTATCCCTTCCTTATTCTAAAATAGTCTTCAAGTGGTAAGGAATTATTATTCTAACAAGAACATGTAGCACAAATCACACTTTGGACCACATTTTAATTTCCTATGGGGAATTCTGTCTACTTCTAAAATCATTCACAGATGATCTCTGCTTTCAAGCCCCAATTCCCAAAGACCTGAATTCCCACTTGGGTGGAGAAATCTTTAGCTAATAGTCTTAGTTCCTTTAAATTTTTGTTCCTTCCACTTAACGTGTACTTGATTCTGAAAAAGAAAAAAAAAAAAGAATTGCGGTTTCTATTCTTGTAAATATAGCACCTTTTGTGACTACTAAAACTAATGTAAGAATCATTAAATAGGTGCATTTATTCATTGAGATATTATGCCCCTGTGGCTATGGACATGGAATAAATTAGGCTGAGCAGCCCTGCTCTCCCTAAGGGCCTCCAATTTGGTTGAAATATCTTTCTGCCTGAAGTCATATGGTTTAGAACCTAATCAAAATGTGTGGATTAGGATTCCTGAGCATTTTTGACAGTCTAGGGAATAAATAGGAATGAGAAAGGGAGTCTCTAGGTAGTTTTTATGTCAGTGCTTTTTTTCAGATACTGACAATAGTGAAAGAGGGATATAGCGCGTTTTAATTTCTTCTAAATCAAGTATGGCTTCTACAGATCATGTGTACGTCTCAGTATGTTTTGTAACTGCTGATAAAAGATAACCTGAGAGATGGAAATGACAAGAGAGCAGATTGATTTTTATACTCAAAAAATCATTTAAAAATTATTTATTTGGAGGTGACTTCTGGGACTTCCACTCTTAAAATAGTTTTAAGTGTTTCCATCCTGCTTCCTCTTAGATACAGACTGTTTCTTTATTCCTTCTTGAGCATACAAAAGCAGGCTGTTCAAAAAGAAATTAACAAACGTTTAAGAATAGTATTAAAAATGACTCCCATTACTAGATATAAAAAAGATTTAGAGAATTTGTGGATGATAAATATGGCACCTTGAACAGTAAACATTCTTTCTCAGAACACCACGATTTTGGTTAT